TGTTCCTAGAAATGGCATGTCAATGTATTCCCCCAATGCTCCACTGACCATCCTTATAACTTTTTTTGTGTGTTTTTCCAAATTTATTATTTATTTTTGTCATTTTTTAAAAATTTTGTGTTCCAAATTCTCTTCTTTCATCCCCTCCCTATATGACACCAATTACACATGGGAAATCATGTGAACATATTTCCATATTAGCCACTTTGCAAAAACAAAAAAGTAAGAAAAATACATCCTTATGCCTTTCAAAAGCATAATCCTCCTACACAGCATAGATGGGCCAGCTGTGGTGGGAGCTTCAGTTTGCATAAGCTTTCCTCTACTGAAGAGACTTAAAACTAAGCATATGTATTACGAGGAAGTGTACAAAGTATCTATGGACCCACCTCACAGACCTCTCCAAACCATCTTTGTTAGAGTTTTCTCCTATCACAGAAAAACTCTGTCTTAGAGTTGTGCAGAAGGGACCTCAGAGGTCATTGAGCCGAACTCACCTGAACAAGAATCCCTCCTGTAGCATCCTGGGAAGTATTCTTACAGCCTTGACTTAAAGCCTTCAGGCTAGGGGGAACTCACTACCTTGCAAAGTAGCCATTCCATTAGGGGACATCTCTCCCTGTCAGGAAATCTGTGTATGCAGCCATGACTGAGTTATATTATTCTAGTATCATATGATCAAAAGTGACTCTGATACATGAAGGACTGGAGGATGGTATGGAGAGCAAGATGGACAAGTCACTTTAACTTCTCTGAGCCTCAGTTTCCTCATTTGCACAGTGAGGATAATAATAGCATCAGTGTCATTGTCGTTCAGTTGTTTCTCAGTCATGTCCAACTCTTTGTGACCCCATTTGGGGTTTTCTTGGCAAAGATACTGGAGTGGTTTGCCATTTCCTTCTCCAGCTCAGCTTACAGATGAGGAAACTGAGGCAAACAAGGTGAAATTACTTGCCCAGGGTCATCCAGCTAGTAAGTGTCTGAAGCTGGATTTGAACTCAGGTCTTCCTGACTCCAGGCCTGGTGCTCTATCCCCTTGTACCACCTAGCTGTCTATAGCAGTAGCACTCATAGGGTAGTTGAGTACAAGTACAAGATGAGAACATTATTTTAACCTCTCTGAACCTGTTCTCTTCTTTGTATAATAAAGATAATAATAACAGCAGTCCCCACCTTACAGGGCGATTTGGAGGCGCAAAGGTGATAGTATCTATATAGTGTTTAGCAAATTTTAAAGCATTATAGAAATATCAGTTGTGATTATTATTAGAACCAGACTTGTTACTTCACTGTAGAAGGAACTCTCAGGTCCAAAGCTTCCTCTACCAATGAATTTAGCAATTTTTAAGCAATAGTAGAGTCTTACAGAGTTGCCTAGAGCACTGAAAAGTTAAAGGACTTACCCAGGGTCACATATACAGTATGCATCAAAGGTGGGATGTGAACTCAGGTCCACCTGAATCAGGAAGACAGCCAGGTGGTGCAGTAGATAGAATGCTGGACCTGGAGTCAGGAAGACCTGAATTTAAATCCAAGCTCAGGCACTTACTAGCTAGATGATCCTGAGCAAGTCTCTTAACCCTGTTTGCCTCAGTTTCCCCATCTGTAAAATGAGCTGGAGAAGGAAATGGCAAATCACTCCAGTATCTCTGCCAAGAAAACCCCAAATGGGGCCATGAAGGGTCAGACCCAACTGAACAACAGCTTCCTGAATCAAAAGTCAGCTCTCCATCCACTATACTACACTGCCTCTCACATAGCTATCATCATCACCATTGTTGCGGCAAGTTAAAGATAAATGACTGAGGAAACAAAGGTTTGATATTACAAGCGTATCGATTTATTAAGCAATGCACGGCAATTGCCAAATAAAGTGGGACCAGACCTCCTCAGCTTAGCCCTGGGCCCCAGATACAGTGGGAGATTATACTTTAAAAACAATTAGTCAAATAAGACCAATTAATCAAAGGGAAACAATACAACATTAGATAATCTGATTTCTAATTAGAGCAAAGATTAGGGGAAATGGGGGGAGAAGTGTGACCAGGTGCAATTCCCTGAAAAGGAGTTGTTCCACTCCTCTAAGTGTCTGTAAACAATCAGAGGAAAATGGAAACAATAACTGATTGATAAGTACAAAACCAGTTTTCATATAAGACATAGGAGTTGCTTGAGATGCACAATTGTGGAAAAACTGCTTGCATCAGTCTTTGGATCTGACTGAATTTCTGGTCAGCATAACCTAGGTCCTTGGTTAAGTGTTCTAAATAGCAGATAGATGTAGTCCAGCTTCCCAGCCATGCAAGGCTAGGTTCAAACAATGCATTAGGGTTTTCTCCCAATTCCCACAGTTGGATAATGTTTTCTCAAGAAACGATAGTTGGATTAGAACCCTAAATGACTAGAAAGGGAAGTGAGTTGGCTCCAGAATTGAATCACAAGATGAGATTAGAGTGGTTCACTCCATTCCCACTACCACTGTCCTAATCCCCTCAGTTCCTCCATCATCATCATCATCATCATCATCATCATCCCTCATCCTTGTGTCTTACTAGACTTTAAATGGGGATAGACAACTTCTCAATGCCAAGGAAGAAGCAGAGCTCTAGAGATGGAAAATTTCTAGATTTGGACCCAGTGGATCTAAGAGTAAGTCTCAATTTTGCCGCTTATCAGCTCTGTGACTTTGGGCAAGTCCCTTCCCTTATCTGATCCTCAGTTCTTTCTCCAGTAAAGTTGGGCCAGTTGCTCTCTTGTGGTACAGTGAAAAAGAGCTTTGGACTTGTCCTTCAAGGACATGGGTTCAAAACCTTATTTTGCCACTTCCTCTGTGAACTTTGCTTAACTTCCCTGGGCTTCATCTTCCTCCCTTGTCAAATGAAAGGAGTGAGACTCAGTTCCTCATCTATGATCTTATCATCCTAATGTGCAATGAGCCTAAAAGATACTGGAACATCATGGTCCCAGAAGAGCTACGCTGTTTGCAAATCAGTTACTTTGTGATAATCTATAAACGAGAACAAAGAACACTAGGCAAATCACACCAAAAAAGCTTAGCTTGACATTTCTACAGCTTTTAAGGTTTTGCAAAGTGTTATAAATCCATTATCTCATTTTTAAAATAAAATTTTACTGATATCTTTTGTTTCTATGTCACCATTTCCTCTATCCTCTCCCAAAAACCTATTCCATACAACAAAGAATTTTAAAGGAGAAAAAACAAAAGGTGACATTCTTATTATTATTGCTCTATCCTCAGATTCTCAGATCTCCGTATCTCATCTTTGGTCACATTCTGTCATTTAAAAAAATTTATGCTTTTAGTTCTATTGATGCATTTTGTTTTAGAGACTTTTACATGTTGTTCCTGCTTGGTGAGAGGTCTCTTATAACAAAGTAAAACAGTTAAGCAGAATGAATAATACAGCAACCTAAACTTAAAGTGTATGCAACACTTCACACTCCCATTGTTTCATTCATTGCACCTACTGTTCTCTTGCCTCTGCTCTTTGTTGTTGATACATTTCAGTGTTTCTGACTCTCTGTGACCCCATTTTGGGGTTTTCCTGGCAAAGATACTGGAGTGGTTTGCCATTGCCTTCTCCCGTTCATTTGACAGATAAGGAAACTGAGGTAATCAGGGTTAAGTGACTTGCCCAGGGTCACACAGCTACAAGTGTCTGAGGTCTGATTTGAACTCAGGAACATGAGTCTTCCTGAGTCCAGGCCCGGTATACACTGTACCACCTAGCTGCCCTTGGCTCTGCTTACTTTCTCTGATCTCATTGGAGGCAATAATGAGAGGGCGAGTGTTATCAGCCCCATTTTACACATCAGAATAAAGTGGCTGGTTGTCACATTTCTTTTTGGAAATCAATGTCATTACTGCAGCGTGGAGGCTACCTGGGGCAGGTTCCTTGCCCCAGACACCTCAATCAGTTGTTACAGAGATCTTTTTTTTTTGGAAGAGGAGAAACAAACTTTGACACGTTTTCAAATTTTCCCTTGCTTCCCTTTATAATCAGCTTTAGACACTTCCAGATAGAACACCTTTTTGCTTTTAAAGGCAAAAGATCTAACACCTCTGTCATCTGCATACTACCTTGCAAAGCATGAATTAAAATGACTTATATACAGGAGGCTATCAGAACTCAAGTCAATTACATCATTAGCAAATCAAGCAGTCACTCTCCTATATGCCTGCATCCTAGGGAATGGTCTATTTAAGCAGATTTTGATCCATCAGAAATGCATGGCTAGTAGTCAATTACTTACTCCCTGATAAAGCAATTTTCTGATCTAACTCTCCTCATTATAATAAAGGTTGTTAAACATCTGAGAAGCAGCTGAAAATTCATGAATTCTTCTTTTTTTAAAAAAACCAATACAGATACCTCAAGTCTTTCAACTTAAGCAAGCTACATTTCCAGGCAGATGGCTCTCTGCTCAATCTCTCCCCTCAGTTGTATTTAACTTCCTAAGCCATGGAAATGCATAATTGGTTTTATAGCATCACTTCCCAAAACATTAATGTTTCATCACTTGGTGTTTTTTTTTTCCTTAACCACAGAAAGGAGAGAAATTGTCCTAAAAGTCCACATCGTTGACATTCCAATGGACCCACGAATCAATATAGGTAACTCTCTCCCAGTCATGCAAATCACAATCTATTCTGCAGCACCTTTATCCATGGTGTCCCCAAAGTTTACCATAATGGATCCACCCACATGGGCAGGCAGTCTTTCTCATATTCACTTGGCATAATGAAGATATCAGAGGAGCCCTTTACTCAGTCTCACCAAATGGCCATGTCGCCATGTTCTTTTTCACCCATGTATTTCTTTGATGATATCCTTTACAGCTTCTTGTGGTGCCAGTCTCAAAATGAAAATGGAATGAATGCACTGAAAGGAATGCCTCTGTCATTCCATACCCTTCTTTCTCACATTGATCTTGACAAGTCCACGAATAAGAACACAACATCGGGCTACTCCCCTTACCTTTAGGACCTGCTCTAGATTCTCCAGTTTGGCTTGGAGCTGGTATTTCTCCTTCACGGCCAAATCACGTTCTTTGGTCACTATGGCGAGGATGTGGCTGAGCCAATCATAGTCTGCTTTTACCTTTAAAAAAAAGCAGGAGGGAGAAGAGCAGAATATAAGTTCCCTGAAACATGGACAATTTTCAGTTTTGTTTTGGTTATGCCCAGGGTTAAGTTCAGTGCCAGGCATGCAGGAGATGTTAATAAACATTTGTTCAATTTAATTCTGTCGAATCAAAAGAGATGCCATGTAAAACTGTCCACGAGAAAAGAAAAAGACATAGAATGTTCCTAATGTCACCAAATCAAGCACAGATACACAATTCCAAATTTTTCTTGGAATTGGATAAATTCAAGGGAATAAGTCTGACTTGTTTACATAAAAGCCCCTAGTGGTCAAGAATGCATGCTCATTTGCTAACCAAGCTACAACAGATGCACCTCTGGTATCATGGAAAGAATGCTGGGATAGCAGACAAGAGATTCAGTGTTGAGCCTCACCTGTGCTACTTACAATCATTGGGGGGCCCTGTGGGAGAGTGAAAGGAGGGTTAAGGTGGGAATCAGGAGAACCTAGGTCCAATCTGCACTTGTCAAACCAAATTTGGGGCATTGTCCTTAGTCCTGGGAGCTTCAATTTAAGAAGGACGTTCATACATAGGAGAAGGACCAGAAGAGAAAGATGAGGCTGTTGAAGGACCTCAAGTTTATGCAATATGACATGAAGGAACAGAGTGTGACAGCCAGGAGAAAAGCAAGTTGTGGGGCAGGCGGGGCATGAGAGCTGTGTCTGAGTATTTAAAGGGCTGCCATGCGGAGGAGTTATTAGATTTAGGCTATCAGGCCCCATAGGGAATCCAGGTGGTGCAGTGGATAGAGCACTGGACCTGGAGTCAGGCTCATGTTCCTGAGTTCAAATTTGGCCTCACATGCTTCCCAACTGTGTGACCCTAGGCGAGCCACTTAATATTGTTTGCCTCAGTTTTCTTGTCTGTAAAATGAGCTGGAGAAGAAAACAGCAAACTGGTCCAGTATCATTGCCAAGAAAACGCCAAATGGAGTCACAGAGAGTCAGACATGACTGAAACAACTGAACAACAGATTTGGCCCCAGAGAGAACTAAGAGAAATGGATAGACGTTTTGAAGAGGCAAACTTAGGAAAAGCTTCCTAAAAGTAAGAGGTGTTCTCAAGTGGATTGGGCTGCCTTACGAGGCATTGGGCTCCTCCTCAATGGAGGTCAAGAAAACTCCATAGGTTTATTGTGGAGGGAATTCTTCCTCAGAGATCGATTGGACTCCATAGTGACTAAGGTCCCTCATGACTCAGAAATTATGCAGTTCTATGAAAACCTAGACTTTAATCTCACTAGCTATGTGACCATGGGCAAGTCCCTTTACTTCACTGGAATTCAATTTTCACCATCTGTAAAATGAGGGACAACTTAATTACTTACCTCCTAGGAATATTTTAAGGAACACACTATAGAAATACATTACCTAGGTTATTCTTATTCAAGTCATTTCAGTCGTGTCTAACTCTTCTTGACCCTGTTTGGGGTTTTCTTAGCAAAAACATTGAAGTAGTTTGCTCTTTCCTTCTCCATCTCATTTAACAGATAAGGAAACTGAGGTAAACAGGGTTAAGTGACTTGTCTGAGGCCGGATTTAAACTCAGGTCTTCTCTCCAGGCTTGGCATTCTATCTACTGCACCACCTAGATACCTATGACCTAGGTGGCCATGGCCAAATTAGTTCCCTTCTCTTGGTCTCAGTTTCTTGCTCTGTAAAATTAAAGATTGGATTAGATGACCTTTAACATCTCTTCCAGCTCTAGGACTCTTTTTTGTTTAATTTTATATCTTATTTTATTTTAGACTAAGTCTGCTTAACTCACCCAGGGTAAAATTACAGTAGTTACTCATAGGCCTGATCCCAATGCTGGCCAGTATAGAAGCTCTGATCTGCTCCATTTTTCCAACCTGGGCCTGTTTCACCCCTCCTCAGGCAGCCTGATTGCCCTCTGCCCCCAGTGGCTCATATTGTCACTGAACTCAGTGCAGATACCCAATTGACTTTAGCCTTACCGTATCTCAGAAACCCTGAACTCAAACAATGCAGCAGCCTCAGCCTCTATCGGTAGTAGGGATTATAGGCCTGCATCACCAAACTCAGCCCTCGTCATGATTTAAACAACAATATACCTCATAGAGGGCAGTGTGGCATGATGAATAGAGGACCAGTTTTGACTTCAAAAAGACCTTTGACACTAGCAGTATGACCATAGCCATACTACTTAACTTTTCTGGGCGTCAAGTAACTCTCTAAGACCACAAGGTATAGAATTGCCAATCCATGTCAGTGGAGAGAATTTTAAGACTAAAAGTTTCCATTGATGGAGTCACAGGTCTAAACCCCCTTCCCCTTACCCAAATAAAAGGCTCATGGTCTGTTAGGGCTGGAAGAGATCTTTATGATCATATTAATCCAATACCTCATTTTATGCATGAGTATCTTCATTTAAGAATGATGACCTTTCAGGGATGTCCATTTACTCTAAATCTATCCTTTGACTTCAGACAAGTGTGAGTCACCAGAGTGATAGAAACAGTTTCCCATTTACTTTCAAGTTCTTTTTGTTGTTGATGATGCAGAAGGAGTAGACCCATTTTAACCAAGCTGAACATTTGCTTTCTCCCTAAAACGTTTTCACATGAATCATGCTGCTATAACGGGTCTTCTGAAGGTCATGCTCTTTTGTAGGAGAGCTTCATTGATTCCACATACTGCGTATGTCATGATGTTTGCTTAAGGTGACAACATCGGTACCACCAGACATGCAGAAGGTGGGAGGCATGAACTTTCCAGCCCCTTCACTGGAATGTTGTTACCTGCCTGGAAGGTGTTCTTAGAGGAGGTCACGGAGAGGTTTTGTTGATAAGAATGTCTTAAAACAGTTTTGCTGTTAGGTGATACATCAGACAGCCAGAGAGAAAAAGAACTTTCAAGTTCACAGGGGTGAAAACATCATGATTGGTTTGTGACTTGCATCAAACCTAGAGGCAAAGATCCTTAGAACACCATTGGATTTTAGCTTCCCAGAACATTGGATCCATTTTTTTAGAGGGGGCTGGGGAAAGCAGGGAAGAGAAGAACATTATGGTTCAAGAGAAGCTATTTCAAAGTGGAATGGGCTAGCACGAGAAATTGCAGGCTGAACCAAAGGCTAGGTGCTACCCACTACTGCAAGCCTGTCCTGATTCTCCTAGCTATTGATAGCCTCTCCTTAGAAATCACTTCGTGTATATTTTGCATTGAATGTCATCTTCTCAATGATATTTTGCATTAAATTTTTAACGCATCTTCCTGAGGGTATGTCCTTTGTATCCCTGATGCCTACATACAGTAGGTGCTTAATAAGTGCATAATGAATTTGATTGAATAAGGTGAGATGTGGATAATTTGAAGACCATTCTGAGGAAGGAAACTAGGATGGTGAGGAGTCTCAAGGTCATGTGATATAAGAATTGATACAGGAGAGATGTCAAGGCCATCTTCAGGTGTTTGAAAGATTGTCCTATAAAAGAGGGATTAGCCCTAGAGGAAAGAACTGATGGAAATGTATAGAATTTGCCGGAAGACATAGTGAAGCCTGATAGGAGGGAGTATCTCTGGACCATTAGAGTCTTCCCAAAACATAATGGCTTCCTGAGAGGACAGGGGATTCTGGATCCCAGGAAGCCTTCAAGCAAAGACTGGGGATCACTTGTTGCTTGTGTAGAAGACATGGTGGGATTACTGTTCTGATGTGTTGCCCTAGAGCCCTCTAGGATCCTTGACAAGTCTAAGAGCTCTGTGATTCTTTGAAGTCCTTTTATAGCTTAAGAAGAAGAATTCATGTGTCACCGTTTCCATGCTTAGGACTTCCACAAAGTATAAATTCACAATTACTCTTCGTATGGCAATTGACATCATCAGTAGGGAGGCGACTAGGTGGTGCCACAGTGCATAAAGGGCTGAGGCTGGAGTTAGGAAGACTCATCTTCATGAGTTCAAATGTGGCCTAAGATACTTTCTAGCTATGTGACCCCGGGTAAGTCACTTCACCTTGTTTGCCTCAGGTTCCTCATCTGTTAAATGAGTTGGAGAAGGAAATGGCAAACCACTCCAGTATCTTTGCCAAGAAAACCTCAAATGGGGTCACGAAGTCAGACAAGACCGATGAGAACAATAAACCATTAGTAGAGACTAACCTGGAATTTTATTTGATGGATATTTATTTGATGGATAGATAGATATTAGATATTTTGATGGATAGATATTTATTTGATGGACAGATAGATATTTATTTGATGGATAGATATGGATAGATCCAAGATTTAGTAGAACCCAGAAAGGTCAGGAAATACGTTTTTAAGGGTCTCGGTCAAATATAAGCATCTAGGTAGTAGAGTGGATAGAGTGCTGGACCTGGAGTCAGAAAGACCTGAGTTCAAATCAAGCCTCAGACACTCCCCGGCTATGTGACTATGGGCAAGTCACCTCACCTTTTCTTCTGTTTCTTCATCTGAAAAATACGTAATAGCACCTACTTCACGTGAGTGTTGTGAGGTGATATCTGTAAATGCTTTATTATGATAATAATAACTAATATTTATATAGAACTTTTCCAAAGTGTTTCACAAATGTTATCTCATTTGGTTCTCCCAGCATCCCTGGGAAATGGGTGTTATAATTATCCCCAGGACAGTTAGTTGGCACAGTGCTGGATCAGGAAGACCTTAGTTTAAATCATGTCTCAGATACTTATCAGTTGTGGGTAAAACTGGGCAAAACACTTGACCCTGTTTGCCTCAGTTTCTTCACCTGCAAAATGAGCTGGAGAAGGAAACGGCAAACCACTCCAGTATCTTTGTCAAGAAAACCCCAAATGGAGTTATGAAGAGTTGGACACAACTGAAATGACTGAACAATAACAACAAATTATCCTCAATTTCCAGATGAGGATAATGAGTCTGAGGGAGGTCGAGTGACTTGTCCACAACTAGTCCCAAAGTGAGTAAGCATGTGAGGAGGGATTTGAA